CCGTAGTACTCTACAGGAACCTTTTGTTTATTTTTCTACTATTTTGCTTTATTATCTGCTTTAAGGTATATACAAAGGGTTAGAAAGTTAAAGAAAAGACCTAAGGGTTAGTCCTAAGTTTACTCGGCAAGATTCGCATCTTGTGCCTACGTATCCGGGGTAGGGAATAGAATCAGAGTAATCGTAGTTCCCCTCGAAAGGGAGGTTAGAAACGTCTTGACTGTGGTCAAGGTTTCAATAGGGAATAAACGTATCTTAAGGACACGCTTACGTGGAGTCTTAAAACTACTATTTCTATGTTGAAATTGTTAATTAAAATTAGGGTTGAAATTAGGGATTCCACGGCGGGAAACTCTAAAATAGAGTACGGCGGCTCTTTGACCTAATGCTAGGGTAAAGGATAAAAATGTCCACGGCGGGACGCCTGGGCTGTTAGGGTTTGGAAAAGGAAAAGATTAAAGGTGAAGGTTATTGACACGGCGGCCAACAGTTAGACCTAATCCTTCGGAAGGTGAAAATAATTAACAGTACATAAAGTGCAAAGGAAAAAATAAACATCGGGTGACAATATTGAAATATAAAGTGCACAAATAGAATAAATTGCGACGATTGCCTCGCATGTTTCCAAACCATAAAACAAAATATGGATATAATGACTAATTGTTAACCAATGATGAACGAGAATTAAGTATAATCAGCCAGAAAAATGGAGAAAGTTAGTAATTTGAATACATAGAAAGGTTAGACAGAAATCAATGGCAAATAATAAAAATATTTAATGTCGCAAAAAAAAAGAATTACAATTTTGGATTTTTATTATTGTTTTATTTATTATTTTTTAAGAAGAAGAGAGTTTATGTTAGATTTTTATTTACTATTTACAGAAAGAGTTAATTTAATTTTTTTAAGAAAGTTAATGGTATTAATTAAAAAAGTTAATTTAACTTAATGAAAAAAAGATAGTACTAATTACAAAAAGAATAGTATTTATTATTTTCTGGAAAAAAGTTAGTTATTTATTTTTTTGTGTTAAACAGAATGTTAAAAAAAAGTTATTTATTTATATTTTTTATTTTAATCAAATTAATTAAAAAACCAAATATAAATCAGAAAAAAAAGAAAATAAAACCAAAGGGGTTGGGCCGGGTCATCACATCCCGAACCCAACCCGGTCCACAAATTCAACAAAAGGCACGAGGGATTAGGGCAACCCTAATCCTCTTGTTGTTGTCCGCGGCGGATCCATTCGTGTTGCTTGCTGCATTTTTTCATATCTCTCTTCTTCTCACTCTCTACTTGCGTGTGGTTCTTCTTTCTTCTCTACCTTGCAAACCTGGAAAAAAATGGAAACAGGCTGTTAACAGATCATGTTGCTCACGTTTTGATGATGGTGTTTTAATGGTTTGTGACGATTTCCGGCGGTGGTTTCCGGTAACTTTGATGTTAGACGGTGATGAAGATGAGGAAATATCTTCCCCTTCTGACTCTAGTCGCAACGGTGGCCTTGCATGTTGTTTCGTTCTGATGTCGATGGTACAGTGTCGTGTCTTCTTCGGCGAACGAAAGAAACAAGCTCTGGTTCATCTTTGTCAGAGAAGATCGTTTTAAAATCTCTTCTTCTTTCAGATTGGGGTGATGACGGAGAATCTTGACACTTCTGAACCCCTTCGAGTTTTGACGGCCGCTTTTGTTCGTTCTCGTTTAGGTGATTTGTGGCCGCCGCCTTTGTTCTGGTGAGTTCGCTCTTTTTTTGTGGTTAGGGTTCCTCGTTCTTCTCTATGCTCATTTTATACTGTTATTTCTTTTCACTCGTGTTGGGCTTGGAGCCACTGATTTACGTTATTATTATGTCTGAGATTGATTTGTTTTTTCTTTGAACAAATTGGATCCGGATTCTTATTCATTATGGTTTATGGATTTCATCTGGATACTGATTTTTCTGGATTTGATTTCGGATCTGCCGGTGATTTGTTCTTTCGGATTTACATTATCTGGATTTGATTTTGTCTGATGAATTGATTTTGGATCCATATAACTTTTTACTTGATAGAACTGGATCTGAACTTGGTTCTCTGGACCGCATTTCGGATCTGATATGATTTGTTGGATATTTACTTGATAGAACAATGGATTTTCGGATTTTGGATTCCATTAGTGACCTGTTTGGCTCAATTCCTTTTTTTCGGCAAAATCACTTTTCGGCATAAAACACTTCTTTTTCTGGCCGTCCCGAAAAAAGAACAGATATTTTCCGGTTTTAGTCTGAGGTCGTGAATCGATTTCGGAGTTAGCTTCGGCATTTGTCGTTGCCCTCCCGACACCCGATGATGAAATTACTCTGAGGGTGTCGAACAAAAATAATTTCTTAACATTAACCTCTTTTTTGCTCTGTTTTTGGTTTATTCGTATGCAGGTACGAAAGCAAGTCGAGTGTTGGAGAAATTAATCAGAAAAGTCGGGCGCGAAGATCACTTGTAGGAAATTAGGACTTTATAATTAAAAATGTATTTATTTTCCTTGTGTAAATTGTAATAAAATATAATTATGAATAAATAAAATTCACATTATTTTTATCCAAGATACTTATTTAATTATTCCTCCAACCGAGTGACTCTCTCTAAAACAATCCGATTAAATTCCAATGAATGATTACCTCCAAATAAACTCAACCGATCAAAATGTAATCGATTGAACTTAACAAACGGATTAAATTCTCCCTATAAATTTAATACGAATAATATTCCAAAATAAGTATCTGAATCAACTCATGTCATCCCAACGCATGCTGCTCCACTTTAAAACTGACGTGACATTCAATTGCAGTCAAATATTTCCCAGATTAAACCGCGCCTGATGATAGAATCAATGATGGCCATGAACAAAGTAGAACAGAAAAGAACAGAGAAATTCAATTACAGCAAAAGCAGAGCTAAACTCTGCACCGAGAAATTCAACGTGTCTCTCTGCTGACTAAATCTCATGTCCTGAACTCATTCAACCAAAAAACCACAATTAAACAGAAATCATAACCCGAACACGAATCGAAAATTCTACTGTTTTGACTTTAAAATGACTGGCAGATAGTAGAAGATCAGAGAAAAAAACGCATATTAAAACAAAATTCCGCAGAATGGATTCTTGTACTGACTTGAGCCGAACCAAATTGATATCTTAACATAATCAAACCCATATGATAAAATAAATATCTCGGAAATTCACGGACAACAGAGTCTCGGCTCGTTGAATTAATTACTATATCTCAAAAATCCTGATGCCAAAATTACCGTGAATTTCTGTTCATCTTCAAAGAAAACAAAGAGCTTGGAAACGGAGTCTCTAATTACTCAATGGAGTCTTGGCGATGATTCAGCTTTATGAACTTGTCAACAAACAACGTAAAAATGACAATTTCGCCCTTCCACAGTTATAGTGCGCCAAACGTAATTTCTGCAAAACAAACAGACTACGTAACCCGTTAGTAGTTAGCTGATGCAAAAATGAGATGTCATGCGATATGAATCGATTAATCTGAGGGTAAAATTTGGGGTATTACAATGATGATGAAGGAATTTGAAATGTCGGATCTGGGAAAGTTGTTGTACTTCCTAGGCATGGAATTTCAAATATTGAAGCAAGGTATGGTGCTACATCAAATAAAGTATGTCAAATAGATACTCAAGAGATTCGGGATGAAAGACAAAGTCAATGTCACTTTGTTGAAACAAATTGTCGGATCTCTGAGATATGTATGCAACACTCGACTTGATATAGGTTTCTCATTCGGATCAATAAGCAGATACATGACTGAACCAAGGGTGTCATACATGAAGGTTCCAAGAATAATCCTGAGATACTTAAAAGGATTGACAAATTACGAGATTCTAAAAGCAAAGAAGTTGTGATTAATTGTTATTCAGATGCTGCTTGGTGTGGAGACAAGAAAGATTGAAGAAACACAACTGGTTACTTCTTTCAAGTATTTGGTGCCCCAATCTCATGGTGCTCAAGAAATCAACTTGTGGTGGAATTATCATTATGTGAGGCTGAATATGTAGCAGGATCCTATGTTGCGTGACAAAAAATTCGGATAAGATATGCACTGGAAAAGATGGAGGTCGAAGTGAAGAAACCTCTGGTGCTGCAAATCGACAATAAGTCAACCATTAATATTGCAAAGAATCCAGTTTTGCATAGAAGGAGTAAGCACATTAAGGCTAGGTTTCGTTTTCTAAGGGAGAAGGTAAACCATGGTGAACTTGAAGTGAGGCATTGCTCGAGTGAAGCATAGTTGACTGACATTTTCATCAAAGGACTGAAGGTCTACAAATTCCTAACTTTGATAAAGAAATTAGGAATAGTTTAAATCAACTATGACTAAATTCTTGTTCGACAACTTAGATTATAAGGAGGTATGATGTGATATAATTCAAATTGTAGTCCAAGTCATAGTTAGAATTAAGGTTTGTTTTATATATATATATATATATATATATATATATATATATATATATATATATATATATATATATATATATATATATATATATATATATATATATATATATATATATATATATATATATATATATATATATATATATATATATATATATATATATATATATATATAAAATTAAAATTCAGTTTTCAATTTTTCAATTATAACATTCTTTATTATTTATTCTCTCTCTTTCTCTTGTCACTAAAAATATTTCACGCGATAACACAATTCGACCCATTTAAATATACAATATTGACGACACAAAAAAAAATCATAAATGCAACAAATGGATACGTCAAAATAAATAAAGTCCCAATATTATAATTCAAACTTCTTGTTTAATGGATATATTTCTGCATAAGAAATTATTACAATAAAGAGATAAACTCTAAATGTTCGCTCATACTTGATTTAAAAATTATTATTTTTAAGATTTGTGTTTTATTTTTGTTTTACATTGTATCACATTTAGGCCTCAAGTGTCCTAAACATAATATGTCTAAGCAGAATATGGAATCCTTAAGGCCATTCTTTGAGCTAGCCAAGGTTTTTGTGGTTCTGGATCAATGAAGCTATGCATGAGAAACTGTTCAACTTCTTTATCCTTTAACACTTTCGTCCATTTCACCCTTTTCGAAGGAACAAAACCCAGTCCAAAACACCTGTAATTTCGACATAAAAAGAACAGATGTAGTTTGTAATTTAAAATGAGAGAGTCTTATATTTAGTGACAAAGATATTATAACGATGAATGGAGAAATTATGAACCTGTATTCATAGAAGCAAGCACTTCTTTCGTTTTCAATATTCCCCCAATTATTCCAACCATCATGTTTTATACATTGATCCATATAAGTAAATGCAAAGACCACTCTTCCATAAGGTCCCCATGGCCTTCCAAGATATGCATATGAACTTCCTCCATTGCCCGTGATAACGCATCTGCAAAGACAATCGAAGTCCAGTATTTTGTATCTGTGTCTGTGTCGGTGCTTCATAGATTGTAACAAATTACACTAAACATGGTGACATACCTCAGGAATACAAAACCAGTTTTTTCATGTGGAGATTTTCTGCTTTGTGCGGTTATGAACCCGTCAGACTTGCAATGGATATGACAATGCTCCAAGAGTGCAGTGCTATTACCAAAAATGAAGTCCACACTTCCTTCAATATAACAGTCTCTCAGATATAGTTTTCCGTAATGTAAATACAGTGTGTCCTGCATCATATTCATAACCATGAAAAAGTTTATTCCCTTATCAAATTCTTTTTCTTTAGGTAGCATTTGAGATTTTCATACTCTAAAAGTGCAAAGCAAACATATAAGATTCATCAAATTTTTCATAGAAGAAAGTTACCTGCCATCCAAGGAACCTGCAATTGTAGAAAGCACATCGATCTGCTGTTACTCTAACTGCCACTGCTTGTCCTGAACCCTGCCATGAAAAAAATTAAGAGGAAAGAGAATGATCAATATATAAGGTATGTTCAATCATCAAAACAAGGTTTAGAACATAGAAGTGTGTCCACAATATAGGATGTGATATATATACCTGAGGAGAAGAATTCTCAAACGTAATATTCTCAGCAATAAAATCTTCCCCTTCCACAATAGTACTTCCACAACCAAAAGTCCCATTCCCTATCACCTTACAACCCTACAACAATACTATCTCACTAATCATCCTAACATAACCATAAAAAACTAACAAAAGCTTTGAATTTTGACACAGTCCCATTTCACCAAACAAACAAAACATCAAGAAATTCATGAACCTACTTGATGGTGATCAATTTTATTGGCAGTGTTGTTCCATGTCAGAACAGTATCTCCAGGAAACAAACCAGCAAAAGTGATCAAGTTCTTGGTTTTTGGAACATATAGTGGCTGCCGGTAGGTTCCCGGCGATATCCTTATCACCGTCCGGCGAGTGTTGCCGAGTGGCACTGCATCAATGGCTTCTTGTACAGTTCTGTAGTTTCCAGTTCCATCTTGTGACACTGTCAATATAAAAGGTGCCATTATTTGTATCTATTGTTTGTGTGTGTGTGTTTGTGAATTGTTGTGAATGTTGAATATGGTTCATAGCGGACATAAAACGCAGAGAAAGAACAAGACATGTAGACAAAGAATCTAGGAGAGATAAGAGATTCTGTTATGCTATGTTCTCTTTTCTCTTTTGTCAACAAAAAAAATGTAATAAAAGTTCTGTTTTCTTTTTCTCCTTAGCATGATGCATTTGATTTATTTGTAATGGTAATGGAGTTGGTTTTCATAATCATGCATAAGCTACCATCTAGAATTCATGATGAAACTCTATCATGTTTAATTCATGATGACTAACAAAACACAATCTCAGCAATTTTTTTTTTTTGTCTATAGAGTTTAACCAAAACTTTTTCAAGCACATACCTTAAGCAAATTTAGAGCTACATTAAATAATTTCTTAACCAAAATTTTATTCTACCGTCCAGGTGAATAAGTCTAAGCAAAAACAATACTATATATTTTTTCTGTGGGAACAACTTCCTTGAAAATTTAAATCAGAATTTCTCTTGAGCCAAATAAACATTCGCCTCTAAGAAAAATCTATTTATAATCTTTTTAATAATATTCCATACAGAACTTTGATATACTTCAATTCAAAACTTTGATATATTTAGGAGGTGCAAATTGATAAGTTTCGTCAGGAGTTGGTTATTTCCTCTATTTCAACAAATGCTATGAATGCAAATCATTAAATAGTTGGTGTTCATAAAAATTCTTCTCATAGTCGAGGTCGAGGAAGCACATTTTGTGGTCAAGACCGTGCCTCATCTGGAAATTAACCTACTTGTCAGCTATGTGGAAAATATGGTCATAATGTGATTGATTGTTGGCACCAATTTCATGAGCAAGTCACTCTTGCTCAGGCTCCGACTACACCTCAACACTTTGTTGATTTGCCTGCACACAAACTTGAAACTTCCACCCTTAAGCCCTGGCCTTAATGTCCATTGCACATGAGTATTCCTTGCCTCGAGACCTTGAGAGCCAAGTTTTCAAACTCAAGTGCATCACACCATCTTACTTCTCATGCTTCTTACTTGAATTCTAAAAAAGCTTATTCGGTTACCTGTCTTGTTAGTGTTGCTAATGGCCAATCCCTCTCAATAAGTTGTGTCGTATCTACACGTGTTTCTTCCTTTTTGTGTCTCTCTTTCACACTTGTTGTTAAAGATATTTTACTTGTACCTTTTCTTACAAGGAATCTATTGTTTGTTTCTAAGTTTTTGTGTGATACCAATGTTGTGTTTGAATTCTTGGCTGACAAGTGCTTTATAAAATCTTAGGTTTCCTGACTCAAGTGGATTGTATTGCTTTCCTATCTTGATTGTGGAGCCTTCAAGGACTTCCTCTATGCCCTACGTTAATTCTCCTTCTATCCACACCAATGACATGTTTGCTTCATGTTGTGTAACATCTAGTATTCTTCGGAATTTTAGACTAGGTCATGCTAACTATCCAACTATTTGATAAGCTTTAAAGCATTATAATATTCCATTTTCGACTAGGTCGTGTAAATCTTGTTTATGGGAAAATCTCACCAATTGTATGCTCTTTTGTCTATAACATTGTATCCCTCTCTTTTTGAATTAGTGCACATGGATCTTTGGGTCCTGCACCTTTCCCTTCGACTTTTGTTTACTATGTTGTGTTTATCGATGTTTATTCCAAGTATACTTGGATATATTTTCTTAAAACAAGTCGGAAACACGTCATGCCTTCAAACTATTTCACAAGTTTGTTCAAACTCAATTTAACACTGTCATTAAAGTTTTTCAATCCATTTATGGGGGAGAGTTTTGACGCTTCACCGAGTATTTAACTGAGTTAGGCGTGTCTCATAGGCTCATATGTCCAGACATGTCTCACTAAAATGGTGCAGTCGAACGCAAGCACAGACATATTGTCGAAATGGGACATACCTTGTTATCTCATGTTTCCCTTCCTCTTCATTTTTGGGAACATAGTTTTGCATCTGTAGTTCGTGTGATTAACCGATTGCCTACTATTGGCCTTGCTCATTTTCAGTCCTCGTTATTTTTCTTGATCGCAAGTATCCTTTCTATGACACTCTCAAAGTGTCTGTTTTTTTTCCTTTCACTCGTCCTTACAACAAACATAAGTTGGAATTTAGGAGTCATGATTGTGTTTACTTGGAAATTTCTTTCCAGCATAAGGGTTACAAGTGCCTAAGCAAGTCTAATCAAATTTATATTTTCAAAGATGTTATTTTTCATGAAGAAGTTTGTCCTTATCTAACATTGTTTCCCTATACCACTTGTGAACCATCTAGTCGAAAATGTCAGACTGAGTCCATTCATTTTCCTTCAATTTCGACTTCGATTGATTCTTTAGGCCCAAGTACAACTCAGGAGTAAGCTCACAGGGTATTTTCATCCCACTCTTTACAATTTTCTCCCACTACTTTATCTTCTTTACCTCTACCCAATCCTTAGGCCCCTCATACTTCTCCACGAGGTTCTACCATGAGTCCCTCGACTAATTCAAAGTCCCCTCTTATTCCTTCTTCTCTCTTCCTTGAGTTCAACAGTTTAATGCACATCCCATGATGGCTCGTGCCAAGATAAGTCACTTCAAGCCTAAGCTCTTCTTTCCCATGTTGAACCTACTTCAGTCAAACAAGCTCTCTCCAATCCACATTGGCTTGAGGAAATGAGACTTAAGTATGAAGCTTTGCTAAAGAATCTGACCTGGACACTGACCATTCTTCCACCAAATCAAAAACATGTGGGATGAAGGTGGGTTTTCAAGGTTAAATAAATTCTTGATGGTTCAGTAAACAAGTAAAAAGCTCGACTGGTTACTAAGGGGTTTCATCAAAAGTTTAGCTTTGATTTCAATGAGACATTTTCTTCAGTTATTAAACATGTAACAATTCGAGTTATTCTCACTTTAGCTCTTAGTCACAAATTGGAGCTTCAATAAATTGATATCAATAATTCCTTTTTAAATTTCTCCTTGAATGAAGATATTTACATGATTCAACATTCTGGTTTTGAAGTACATGATCCTTCTCTAGTTCGCAAAATGCAGAAGGCACTTTATGGGCTCAAACAAGCACCTCATGCCTAGTATGAGAATCTAACTCAGACCTTGGTTCAGTTTGGTTTCAGTCACAACAAATGTGATCACTCTTTTTTCATATATTCTCACCAAGGCTTTACTCTTTATACCTTAATATACGTGGATGACATTCTGATCACAGGCTCTTCCTCCTTGCTTATTCACAAGCTCATCGACTCCATGCTTGATAAGTTTGCTCACAAGAAGTTAGGATCCCCTGAGTATTTCCTGGGAATTTAAATTAAGTGTTTAGATTCAGGAAATCTTCTACTCACTCATTCTAAATATATTTGTGATCTTTTTGCTAAAGTCAACATGAGCAATGTCAATGGTATCCTCACTCCCATGTTTAGCACGTGCAGAGTCAACAAACATAGGTCTTCTTCTCTTCCTAATCCATTCATGCATTAATCCATGGTTGGTGCATTCTAGTATGTCACTTTTACTCACTCCGATATTTCTTTTAGTGTCAACAAAGCCAATCACTACATGGCTTCCCCTCTTGACTCTCATTAAGAAGCTGATAAACATATCTTGCATTGCCTTAGTGACACTCTTGATCATGACTTTCTCATTTCTCTAGCTCCACCCTCATGCAAACTTTCACTTTTTCCCTATAGAAATTCCAATTGGGCAAGTGATCTTGATGATATGAGTTCCACATCTGGCTCATGTATCTATCTTGGTCCAAATATTGTTTCATGGAGCTCGAAGAAGCATCATTTGATGGCTTGTTCTAGCACAGAGTTCGAATATCATGCTCTTGCACATACTACATCTGAGTTGCTTTAGCTTGAGTCGCTTAAGCAAGAACTTCATGTGTCATTTAAGTCTCATACCCTGCTTTGTGATAATATTAGTGCGGTTCTAAAGTCACATAATCTGATTCTTCATGCTCGAACCAAACACGTTGAGTTAGACATTCACTTTGTTCATGAACGTGTTATTTCAAAGCTCTTGAAGATCCAACATCTTCCAAGATCTCTCCAACTTACAGACCCACTTACCGAGCCTTTGGGAACTGCTGCCTTTGAAGATCTTCGTATCAAGCTCAAAGTCGCCGCTCTCACCCCTCTTTGAGCTTATGGGTGAGTATTATGAGGCTAGCTTAGGAAACTAGTTACATAGATTTACATATGCATTGGTGTATGTTAATATGAGTGGATCACCATGCACATATGCATAACTGTAACTAACTCATGCACCATCCACCATGCATTCCTTGCTATATATAAGTGGTTATGATTTTGTAAATGATGAGAGAGATTAAATGAGTAACGTGATAAATACATTCTATCAGTTATCATGAGTTCTGGTTAGAAACATAGTTAAATTGAAATTGAAATGAGAAAGGAAATGGTAGTTTGGTATGCTATTACTTGATATATATGTTAATAGTCAACAAATAGAGTCAATAGAGAAAATATGCAATTTTAATTAACTTGTATGGCCAGAAGAAAGAAAATGAACAAGGAAATAGTGTCATACCCCAAATTTGCCCTACTTGTAAATTATTTTTCATCTGTACATCCGTCCACTGACAATTATTCGGAAAAATCCAAAAAAATATGTATTTTCCTGTTGCCTAAGTCTATGCTTCATTTGAGGGTATCGAATCAGGTGTGGGTGCAGTAGTGGTTGGGGGTTATTTGGTTTTAACCTGATCTTGGTCAAAAAAGGGTTTGCTTCATGATCAGGTTATCCGTGTGAGGATCAAGTTGTCAGGCTATGTCAAATTATCAATGTTTCACAGTTGAAGATCATCAAGGAGTAGAACATGGTAACTTAAGGTTTTTTAGTTGGTCCATAATGTTGTTGAGGAGATTCGATAGTGAGGATTGTGGTTAAGTGTTGAAGATAGATCCATTTGTGGCTAGGGTTTCAAGCAAGAA